AAAAAATAGAGTTTAAACATTAAATTAGAAGCATTTGAAAGCCAAATCTATATTCCACTTCTTCTAGTCCATTTGTGCAAAGTATTTCAAGTGGGAAAGGACTTTCTGGTCCCCTTTTTCCACTTACCAGACACGCTCACCAGGAAGGCCTGCCTGAGGTAGCCTCCTATCAATCTTCAGAATCAGCTAACACCTAACTTTCTTAAAAAGGGATTTGGATTTCTGAAGCTGTGGCACTGATACTCAGTTTTTATTAAAGCATGAAAATGTGTCATTCTTATAATCTATTTGTCTATTTTGAATGGACTATGTTGCTGTGTATGTTGTGTGTTGTCTTGAAAATCAGAACTGGTAGAAAGGTAGGGCTTGAATTATTTCTGGAATTAAAATGCACTTGGCACCTGAGAAAGTAAAGCATGAAAGTGGTGAAATGGACAGCAGAATGCAGACCTCTGCTTCCTATATATCAGTGGTTCTCAGCCTGTAGGTCCCCAGATGTTTTGGCCTTCAACTCCCAGAAATCCAACAGCTGGTAAACTGACTGGGATTTCTGGTAGTTGCAGGGCAAAACACCTGGGGACCCACAGGTTGAGAACCACTGATATATATACTAACAGTATTAAAATTGATTTGTTACACTAAATGGGCCCTGAATCCCACCAGTGGGCTTCTCTATCCAGAGGCAAAAAATGAACAATTTCTAAATCAAGGATGCACCTGAGAGGGTGGTCATCAGAAAGCAGTTAAAAATTAAATCAAAAGGAGACACAAATTTTAAAAAGACATTCCCTATATGAATGTGAAGAGGAAAGTAGTTGAGAACTTTCCATTACTAAGCAACTTAATTTCACGTGAACTATCTGGAAAAAAATGCTATTGTTCTATTCTAAAAGATATTCATTCGTTTCTTTTCCTTCTGTTATTCCAGTTTGTGTTTGTAAGACCATGGTTCTCGTATCTCCCTGGACCTCATCAGAAAATCAAGAAAGGTTATGATAGTTTCACCACTGTCTTAAAAAATATGGTGGATGAACATAAGAAAACCAGAGATCCCGCTTTTCCCAGAGACCTAATTGATGCGTTTTTGGAGGAGATAGAAAAGGTAGAAAGCTATTTGTGCAAACAAGTTTTCTGAATTTATTTACCATTTCTTTAAAACTAATTACTGATGAAATTATTTTTGCTATTCTGTGTAATGTTTCTAGAACAACAGCTAGCTACGTTGTGTTAGCAGGCCACAGTTATGGTGTTTGTTGTGTGCTGTTATTTCCAATATATTATGACTGTAAAATGGACCTATTACAGAGTTTTTTTAGCAAGATTTACTGAGGGAGGGTTTGATGCTGTTTCCTCAGATACTGAAAGAGGATGAGCATTATCACACCGTAGTGTAATATTGTCATAGCAATGAATTATTCCCACTTATGCCTCATTCAGTCTTCATTTCACTTCCAGCATTGTTGCATTGAAAATGTGTGTTTTTTTCACACTGCAAATAATCTTATAATGACTCCCTTTTCAGACAACAATTTGGTTGACTGTTTAATGGAGGGTCCTGAATGGATCTATTTGAGTGCTTAAATGGTAGAGTTTTATGAAAAAAAATGATAAGCATTAGTGAGTTCTCAAATATACATATGCATTGATTTTATATACAGGATGAATATCCCATATCCTAAATGCTTGGGATCAGGAGTGTTTTGGATTTTAGATTTTTTTTATTTTGGACTACCTATATTTGCATATATGTACATAATGAGGTGTCTTAGAGATGGAACCAAAGTCTAAATACAAAATTTATTTATTTATTTATTTATTTATTTATTTATTTATTTATTATTCAAACTTATATGCTGCCACTCCCCTGGGGCTCGGAGCAGCTTACAAGAATGGCTAAAATCTAACACAATTTAAAAACAATTTAAAATAATTTAAAAACAGCAATATCAAAAATGAAAGTCCTGTCGAAACAGGTATGTCTTACATGCCCTGCGGAAAGCTGATAGGTCCTGCAAGGCATGGACTTCAGGTGGCAGAGTATTCCAGAGTGATGGTGCCACTGCTGTAAAGGCTCTGCGTCTGGTTGCTGTTAGATGCAAGGTCTTGACACTGGGAATTTCCAATAGATCTTGGTCCTCAGAACGGAGGGATCTCTGGGGTTGGTAGGGGGTAAGGCGGTCCCTCAGGTACATCGGCCCCAGACCATGCAAGGCCTTAAAGGTGAGTACCATCACTTTGAAAGTGATCCGGTGCTCAATTGGTAACCAATGCAGCTGTAAGAAGATTGGTGTTATGTGGCATCTCATTGGAATTCCCGCAAGAAGCCGAGCAGCTGCATTTTGTACCAACTTGAGCTTCCGAATCACTGACAGAGGAAGGCCAATGTAGAGGGCGTTACAGTAGTCCAGTCTTGAGATGACCGTAGCCTGGATTACCGTAGCTAGGTCGTCCCTGGACAGGGAGGGGGCCAGCCGTCTAGCCTGCCACAGGTGAAAAAAAGCGGTTCTGCTAACGGCGGAGACCTGGGCCTCCATCGTCAGCAGAGGGTCCAAAAGGACTCCCAGACTCTTTACCAATGATGACGGGCAAAGCGCCTCGCCATCCAGGGTAGGCAGCTGGATATCCCCACTGCCCGGTTGACCCAGCCATAGGATCTCCGTCTTTGCTGGATTCACCCTCAACCTGCTGGCACGCAGCCATCCAGTAAGTGCCTAGAGGCACTGATGAAAATAATTGGGTACAGAGTCTGGTCTGCCCTCCATCTTCAGCACCAGCTCAGTGTTATCGGCGTACTGATAACACTCAAGCCCAAAACCTCGAACCAGCTGAGCAAGTGGTCGCATATAGATGTTAAA